GTGTGTGTGTGTGTGTGTGTGTGTGTGTGTGTGTGTGTGTGTGTGTGTTAGCAAAGTATCTCATGAACTACTCAGTGAATTCTAATGAGACTTTCAGAAAGTAAGCCTTGGGTGTAGAAATACAATTGATTATCTTTTGGAGCCAGCCTAATTCAAGATGGCCGCCACAGCTAATCAACCTTAGCAAAAAATATTTTAAAAATATTTTAAGTGGCAGTCAGTATGGGTTTAGAGCTAATAATTCCACACGGCTCTCATGGACCTAGTAGAGCAAATAACTGCTGTTGATCAAAAACAATACTGTGCTAGWATTTATGTTGACTAGAAAGCTTTTGATGCCACTGATCACAATATTCTTGAAAAATTGAACAAATACGGTCATAGAGGACCAGCACTACAGTGGGTATCATTGTTTAAAGGATAGGAAACAGTTTGTACAAATAAAGGATACAAGATCTGAATTGGGTAATATCACATGTGGAGTGCCTCAAGCTTCTGTACTTGGGCCAAAGTTATTTATTTTATATGTGAATGATTTAGTAAATGTGTCAGGGTTGTTCAAATGTGTTTTATTTGCAGACGATACTGCATTTTTTTATTTTTATTTTTTGGTAACGATATAGAACGGATGTTGGTAATGATGCAGATAGAATTTGCTAAAATACAAACCTGGTTTAAACTTAGTAAATTATCATTAAATTAAGATAAGACTACTTATAAGATATTTAGTAATAGAAAGAAAACTGTTTATGTTCCATTTAGAGTTGATGATGTTGAGATCTGTAGAGTCAGTGAGGTGAAGTTTTTGGGAGTCACCATTGATAGCTCACATGGAGACCTCATACGTATAAATAATTTAAGAACAAAAATAGCTAAATCCRTTGCAGTGTTGTACAAAGTAAAGGACTTATTTTATGATAAAGCACGGTTTATGTTGTATAACGCAATAATTGTTCCACACTTAATTTATTGTGTTGATGTTTGGGGAAAAGCGTGTAAAACAATAACAAATCCTGTTTTTATTTGACAGAAAAGAGCTATAATATTTATTACCAGAAAACATTACAGTCACCCATCAAATTCATTGTTCCATCAGTTGAAGTTATTGAAATTCTCTGATTTGGTTGGTTATAGTATTTTGTCAGTTATAGGGCTCATAAAAACAAATAAAACAAAAAAAATTACCATCAAACATTCAATTTTGTTAAAAGAGAGAGTTGTTACAATCTGAAGGGGGTAGAAATGTTTGTCAAACCTGAAGTTAGAACCAGTTTGAGGGAACGGAGTACTTCAGTCCAGGGAATTAAATTACAGAATAATCTGGAGGATGACACAAAAAATGTCAGATCAGTGTGTATATTTAAGAGAATGATAAAGGTTAATTTGTTGGAGAAACATGCATGAGTATGATGTATGAATTGTTGCTTAAGAAGGAATTAAACCTCCATTGTTTTTATTTTATTTTGTGTACATTTTTGTAAAAYGAAGATTATTTTTGATTGAATTTATTTATTTGAGAAAAAGGGGCAGAAATCACAAGATTTTTCTTCTTCTGTTACCGTTCATTTAATTCATGATTTTTTATTTTCTTATATTGTATATTTAATTTTATGTTGTTTTGTTTTAAATGAATAAAGTTTATAAATAAATAAAAGATAAAAGTAGTTATAACTGAAATTTTTATGGATAGTGAGCTGAAGTTTGGTGTGGTCTACAAATGAGTGCTACTTGATGCTCCTTTTGTCTGTTAGCAAAATATCGCATAAACAACTGGACAGATTTTAGTGAAACTTTCATAAAATAATATTTTTTTAATCTATAAATGACTGACTATAATTAGTCAGGTCCGGTGGTGTATGTAGGAGGCTGTTGGACAGACGGTAAACAAACACATATTGAGGCAGTGCTGCCTCTGGAAATCTTTTAATGTCGGGTCCACTGAACATCCTGAGGTGGCACCAAAACCAAAAGCCAGAACAGAGTTACAGGAGATTRTTTTATTCTTGTCGTTAGGAGTTAGTACAGAAGTTATAGTACGTGTGTCAAACTCAGGGCCTATGGGCCAATTGTGGCCCACTGTGGCATTTTATGTGGCCCACTTGAGCTTATGTGAAGGCAGCACTGACTATGAACTACATCTCCCATAATTCATGTTGATTATTTTACTCACAAAATGATGGCGTCTCCCTACTAGCTGGAGCTGCACAGGGTTCAAGGTGAAAGTCATCATGTAAAATCTTTATTCAGATACATTTTCAACTGCTACATTTGGTGCCGCCCAGTTGTACTGGGAAGTGGTAATTTTCCACTTACAAGTCATAAATTTAACATGGAATGCCCTTCCAGAATGAATTCCCTGTCAGAAAGTGGGAAAGTTCAGAATTCAAAGTGGCAGCTACTCACCACAACTCAACAGTGTGTAAAACTCTTTTACTTTTAATAGTATTTCTGTGTTATTTATTTCACAATTATTCAGTAGTACTTTGGATGTGTTAAATATTGTTTTTACACAGGAAATACCACGTAGAGCTGAGTTATTGTTTGTTAGAGGTGCTCAGTCATGAGATGCGGAACGTAATGTTTTGTGTTTGGTTGAAGTTAAACAAAACATTGAAGTTAATTACAACTGGCGAATCAATCACTGTTAATTAGTGAAATTGGTTAGGAGATATTAGCTTCTGTAGCATACAGTATATTGTTATACAGACTGTAGCACTCTGCTGAGTCATGAAACAATTTAACACAAATTATTAAATATTACAAGCTGATTTGTCCTCTTATTTAGGTAATATTTACACAATGTAATATAATTTTATATAACTAATTTTAGTATTTTGCTAGACAAACCTGACCTGTTGAGATGGTTAGCTAATATCAGTAGAGACAAGTTTCATCCTATTATGCAGTGAACATTTTTACGTGTCAACTCGTAAATATTTAGTTTTATTATTTATGACAGTAAAAAATAATAAATATAATTTATTATTTGCTGAAGAGGAGGAGAAGAAGAATGAGGAAGAGCAGGAGAGGAAGCAGGAAATTGGATCAGGAATCACACACATAAAAAACACAGCCAGGTATCTTTAGGAGTTAATTTACGTTCCTCAAAATTTGCTTTGATTTTTATGAAAAGCTGCTTGTTTATTTAAGGTTTTATAAATTGATTAGTATTTTTTTCATCATTGAACACACATATACAAAGTAGTTTTGATTGTGAAAAAGTGTTTATACTGTAAATCAAGTATTTGTGTTAAAATCATGGTCCCACTTTTGTCTGTTGTGTGATAGGATAAAAGTCCACCAAACCAAGCTCCCAAGGCTGAATTTCAAMCCCCTGTCCACAACCCATACTCCARTCTCTAACTGCTCACTCATATTATTATTTACAAGAGTTGCTCAAAACACCTCATTCTGTCTTTAAAGGTGGWATGTGATGTGCATTATTTTAATAAACGCTAGACTTTAAATTTGGTTTTGGCTTTTGCTYCTCTCTGCCACACCTCTGACTCACACAGCCAGTTTCCTTTGGCTCAAAAGCTGATTTCCTGTCTTATTTAGCCACAAGCTTCTCAGCAACAACACACTCATTAGGAGGAAAAGAAACTTAAATCAATAAATAACGGTCACTTCTTTGAAGTCTTTTTAATCTAAAACTGATTTCTTATCCCCAAATGTGTGTGTGCGCTCTCATCTACCTTAWTGATGTTGACTTTTTACCATTATGAGGCAAAACAAATCATAAATGATGTTCTTAACGAACAACAGGAAGTTCCTGACTCAGGCCTCTGACAATAAGGGCTTAGTTTGTAAATAAATCTCATGCAACAGCAAAAATGACTCCTCTACTTTAAAGAAATAGAATCAGCTATTTTGAGATGGTTCAGTGGCAAACTGTACAGTTAATGTCAAACCCAGAGGTGTAAATAACCATTTTGGAGCACAAGGCAAAACCCAGGCACCAGGGCCCCAAGTTTTTATTTAAATAGTTATAACTCAATTAATTTCACAGATACTGTGCAAAAATTTGTAGTGGTATCTAGCAGTCATCCCCAATGCAATGGGAGCTAACCAATTGTGCAGGGTCTCAGATTTTTGTACATAGCGATTACACATATTTTCAAGTTTTGATCAACATGAAAAATTGTAACTACCTTAGTTTAAAACTTGCAGGACTGGCAGCAGGCTACATACATTCCTTTAAAGTGGTGTATTATATGGCACTCTAAAATCAAAAGCCATAACRAGTTTTTTAATTTTTTTAAGTAAAATATTTAGTCTCTTTTTCAACAGGTTTCTTCAGTCCAGCCCTCTTCTTTGCTCAAACTCTTGAACTAGTTTGTGGCAATTCTTGCCAAGGTGGCTCAAAATGTTCTGATGCATTTCAGTAATCAGGTGGAAAAATCTAAAAAAAAGTTGAGTAGGTCCTCTGGACTTCATTGAAACGTTTTGTCTCTTCTCAAAGAGACTTCTTCAGACTACTTCTTTTAGCTCTGTATGGGCTAGCTCTGTATGGGTTAGATCAGTCTATAAAGCTGTCTTGGAATTTAATGCAATCACGGGTCTCTGATGCTGGTATTTTATGGGTCACAAGCTGAAAAGTTTGGAAGCCACTACGCTAGCTGTGTTTGGGCTAGATGTGTATGGGCTAATTGTGTTTGGGCTAGTTGTATATGGGCTAGTTGTGTTTGGGCTAGTTGTATATGGGCTAGTTGTGTTTGGGCTAGT